ATGTGACCGCAGGTTGCATCTCTTCGATGCCTTGTCAGTACTGACACCACCATGTCCGCTGGACACGGAAGTCTCTATGGCCATTACATTATTTATCACGTGAGCGGTCGCATTCACGGGCTTCCGGACTTGGAAATGACTGGAAGAAGTACACTCCACAAATTAACATTTAACAAAAATACTCATTTATTGATCGATATTATTTACAAGTTTATGATCATTTCGGAAGCTTAGCACAATGACTAAAAAGTATTTTAGATGCTTAGCACTATTGCCAAAGGGAGAGAGATATAGAGAGATAAACCTAACAGGACCCTGACCAAGAGAGAGCGAGCTCACAGTAAGTTCGCAAGATGATAAATACCTTAAAATACTTGCGAGTCCTAGTTGTATTGATGCATAAATCAAGGAAAGGTTGGCAACTCAGTTCAGAAGGTAATCCTTTTTCCTCGGCTTCTTAGGCGGCAGCTAAAACGGCGGTTCGGAACACACACACTTAGGAAAAAGGGTTGATGACGACTGCTCCTGGCTTGTTATCACCCCCTCCTTTTTATTAGAGGCTCCTCCTGGGTTTTTCCCCATGACTTCATTAGGAGGTTGAGTACATTGGGGCCAATAGTCACATTTTCACTCATTGATTCCAGGTGACACATTTGATGTATCATCTTCCACAAGGAAATAAGTCCGTGGGAAACAGTTTAATTATCCTTGATGATTTTAGCAAAACAACTTTAACGAAAAATTAAATCAAACAAAAATTTCTTCACCAAATTTGGCTCCACATAGATAGTGGGAACATGCCTATGTGCTAATTTATCACCCCTGTAACAAGCAATTTTTTTATATAAGCTTTTCATGTTGTAGTTATAATCATGAACTATGTGGCACGTGTTGTGAGGATTCCCACTTTGCAATACATTATTGGGTGTAGAAGGAGTATCCCTGTTGGAATAGGCATTTGCTAATTTACAAATAAGGTGTTTTTTGTAACCATGTTTTTTAGCTATGTTTAGCTGTTTAAGCTCTTTTAACGTGTCCTCATAATTCGTGCAGTGGGTAAAAGCACATTTAGAGAATCCTGAGGAAATCTCCTGTATAGATCGAAAACATTAAAATTTACAATATATATCCTGAAATTTCTTTTAAGGTTTGATTTGTTGCTATTTTTTTATGATATATTCTAGGCTTGCAGAGTTTGAGCTATGATTAAGCTATGCTGGCTAACTTATAAAGAAGACTGGTGCTAGACCTAATGAAGGTTAGAGCCAAATTCAACTTCTTGGTAGAATGCAGAAATTATAAGGTATTTCCGATGTCTATATACCGTATTTGGCTCCCGTTAGGAAGTGAATCCTTATTACCTAAGTTAAAACATCTTTGTCTTTGAAAAGCTGTATGTTTGTGAAGAAGGTTATACACTCTAAACTGGGGAACTTAATTAAATTTAAAAACGTTCTTTTTGACAAGGACCCAAATTTATTTGTATATGAGAATAAACAAGTTATTTACCTACAACAAAGGTTAGAAAGAAATCTCATGAACAAATACAACAAAAAATTAGATTGAATTATCAAGAAACAACAACAGAATATGAATGTACAACTTCACCCACAATTGAATTTTTGGGACAACATATTGCCCTCATCCTTCCTCCTCAACGCCTTCAAATATGGACCTATGTTTGCACCCAAATCAAGGTAATGCTTTCTTAAAGTTCATATCTTTATAAAGTTAAAGATAAAGCTAATTTAATGATTATAAATATAAAAAAAGATATGAAACTACACAAGTTAGTCTCATACCCAACACCCAAAGAAAAAAATGCTTGGGTAAATAAGTTAATCATGAATATCTCTAAAGTACTGATACCTAAATATGTAAGACATTTCCTAGCATTAGGAATAGAATATAACTTACCCATCAATAATATAACAACAAACATGACAGCCGATATTGACAAAAGCATAAAAGATTTAACAATTAAAAAAGAAGAGAAAGGAAATTTAATCACTACGATCACCCAAAATTTAAAAACATGCAAAGCAATACAATAAGCACAAAATCAACAAATATAAAGCCTCCCGAAAAAATACAATAAATTTCCTTAAAACAAATAATTTCTCAATAATTAAAGCTGACAAAACCGACCAACTGATAATTATTGATAATAATAATTTAAAACAGAAAACTATTGAACAGATTAATAACATAAATTACATCAAATTAAACAACAACCCATACGAAGATATTAAAAAGGATCTAACTAAAATGGTCAAAAACATATACGTCAATAATAATATAAGTGAAAACAATACAAATTATATCCTTAATTTCAAAAACAATAGAACCCCCAAACTAAATATAAGATTAAAAACCCACAAAAACGAAGAAAAATTCAGACCTTTAGTAGATTTTAGATTTTCTATACTTTACAACTTAGAACAGTATATCAAGCAACAATTAATAAACATAGATCATTCTAAGTACGCTGTAAAAAACGCTGATGATGTTATTAATAGAATACTGAAAATACAGAAACAAAACACTGATAAACTAATCAGTCTTGATATCAAAAATATGTACCCAAATATAAAATAGAAATTAATAGAAGAAAGTCTAATTATGTTAAATGTAGATAAAACTTTAATTAATCTGATACACTCTGCATATACCAAAAACTATTTTAATGTTAATGCAGACTTCTATAGACAAGTAGATGGCATCAGTATGGGATCAAAGATGGGGCCAAAACTAGCTGAATTAGCTATGATAAACATAGATGAAAAAATAAATAATATCCCAGGCATAAAACTAGTAATGAGATACGCCAACAACTACTTAATAATATACAATAATGGAATAACAAACGACGACACTATTCTGAACACTGCTAACAAATTTAACGAACATATTCAATTCGATATTGAAAAAGAAAACAATAATAAAATAAATTACCTTGACATAACAATCATGAATACACTTAATAATTTTTCTTTCGTAACATACAAAAGATCATGTAATGTTAATAAAACTATTAACTACCATTCATATGTCCCAGAATATATAAAAAAGAATATTTATATCATGGAGTTAAAAACTTATATACAAGAATATCAGATAATAAATGGCAAAAAATTAAAATGAAGGAGCTAGACACTAAATTTTTACTTAACGACTACCCTAAATCGAAATTAAATACATGACAAAAAAATACTGGGAAAATAGGTTTAATACGAAATATAAATTAAACAAAAAATACAAAACCTTCCCATATGTCAAACACATTTTCGAGAGCTGTAATAAGATCCTAAACAAAGACAATATCAGTTTGGCACCATCTTTGACAAACAAAATATCTCAAAGTATCTATTATGGCATTAATAAACAACATAACAACAAAACTAACATTCTAAAATCTGTAGGAACTGTTTACAAACTTGAATGCAACTGTCAAAATCCGAAAACTTACATCGGTGAAACAGGCCAATTACTAGAAACCAGAATTAAAGAACATGAAGCTGCCATCCGCCTTAAACATAACACTTCCCCCTGGTACAACCACATAAGTGACAATAATTGCCAAATGAATAAAATCAATATAAAAGTGTTACATTTAGAAAAAGACCCATATAAAAGGAAATTTAAAGAACACATAGAAATCAAAAAACACCCTAAAGATAACTTAATTAATATTTCAGAAGTCATGTCAATAGATGCCAATGGTATAAACTAATAGAGAGCGCCTCCACGCATTAAATATTGTTTAAAGCACACCCCCTTGTACAGAATGTTAGAAATGGTTTAAATAACATCACTTCTCGGTGTACTGTTGCTCGGTTAACACCCATTGTCAATTTGTACTCTGTTCCAATATTACAATTTAACTAAAAATGTAAGTGTTTATAGATATTTTGAAATTAATAATCTATGTTATATATATTCTGCATGTAAATGATGGGTTAAACGACCATGCCCTTTACCTTTTTTCATATTATAGGAAATATTCATACAACTATGTAATAAAAATATTGTCACACATGTCTATGCTGTACCATTATATAACATGTAAGGTTTTTATGTTATTGTCAACCTGCGTTTATGTTAAATCCTACTTACCAATGTCGTGTAACTCACCTTGTTTTTTGTAATTTTAACAGCACTGAAGAGGGGTTGAGAATACAAGCCAACCCGAAATGCATCTGAATTTTTAAAGTGTTCTTTTAAATAAATCGTAAAGTTTTTCTAACCATTGCTGTTTGATCGTCTACCAAAATTATTGTTTGGATTACAAAGACGCTAAACACAGAATTTGAAGATACAGCAACCAAGTCTTCTACATTAATAAAGTCCTTCTGTTGCTAGATGGTGGTCAGAAAAAATGCAGGACAATCCCAGAAAACTGGGACATCTAGNAAATTTATTCAATATTTTTGTTAATTAAAATTGTACTAATGTCAAATAATTTGTTTATAGTATGTCGAGAATGGTTAATTAGAGAAGATGGTGTACTGGCTTATAAGTTGCAAACTGAAGAAAGTGAGTGATGTGTATTCTTTTTTTGTTATTTATTGTTTAACATTATTATTTAATAAACAAATGAAAGTTTTAGATTCTGTGAATTCAAATTGAGTACAATTTAAACTGCTACTGAATTCCATTTTTTTGAAAAGTGTAAGTTTTTAAGACAGAGAATTGTGAAGTTTTAATTTTAAATTTTGTTTAATTATCTTAGAGATAAAATAATTATTTAAATAATTATTTTATCTCTAACTATAAAATAATTATTTAAATAATTATTTTATCTCTAAGATAATTAAACAAAATTTAAAATTAAAACTTCACAATTCTCTGTCTTAAAAACTTACACTTTTCAAAAAAATGGAATTCAGTAGCAGTTTAAATTGTACTCAATTTGAATTCACAGAATCTAAAACTTTCATTTGTTTATTAAATAATAATGTTAAACAATAAATAACAAAAAAAGAATACACATCACTCACTTTCTTCAGTTTGCAACTTATAAGCCAGTACACCATCTTCTCTAATTAACCATTCTCGACATACTATAAACAAATTATTTGACATTAGTACAATTTTAATTAACAAAAATATTGAATAAATTTTCTACATTAATACTTTTCATTTCAGAATAAAAAATTTTGCAATATAAAAAAAAAATTCAGAATTAAATCTAAATTAAGTATGAAATGTTTGTGTATTAGGGAAATTGATACATAAGAAAATTTCATATATTAAGTGAAATTTAACAGTTTTACATTTATATATATGCAAATTAGATTTGAAACAAACACTACAAAATTTTAAAAAAAGCATAGATTTTTTTAAAAATATTATTGTGTTATTTTATATTATCTTACTTAAAATATTTGCATATAGGCAAACAATCTTATTAAAGTGTGAGTTTTAATTTTGTATCTTTATTTTTTATAATTAGTTAGTTCAGGTCATGGACAGTTCATTCATTTTAAAAAAAATTTCTTTTGCAAGAGAATCTTCAACTAATGATTTTTGTTTTTACATTTTAAAGTAGTCTTGCTACTTATTGACAATTAATATTATAAAATAAAAAGTAAGATTAATTATGTACAGGGTATCAAATTACCTTACAAAAACATTTATTTCAACAAAATGAAACTTTTGTACTCATCAATTAAGCTTAGTTTTTATTTTTATTACATTATTTTTATACATTAGTCAAGTAAATGGTAGAGTAGAGAGTAGAGTCATGAAAGCATATCCACTCAACCAGTGTAAACAATTGGGAAAGTAAATATTTCAGTAAATAGTAGATTAAATGAGCAAGTCAAATGTAGAGTAGAAAACATAGTAGCTCACCCACTTACCATCTGCCCACATTATTCTACAATGAACTTTATTGGCACTCACACTGTGTAAATCACTAGGGATAATGCACAGGCAAGGCAAGTAGCAGTATAAACAAGTTGCAATTGCTTTGTGGAAAATTTTTGTATGTTTCCAGTATATGTTATTTTTTAAAAAAAAGACCATTATTAAAAATATATCAGTTAGCTATAACTTTGTGGAGTCATTCATAACACATTGTACTGTATATTGCTTAATGTCCTCAGCTCCAAGTTCCTTGAGAAGATGCACCTAAGCTGTCTCCGATCCATCATCATATTACTATCTATAATGTTTTTCTCCTGTTTTTTCCCTCCTCAATGATATCATAAATTTCATCCAAAAAACATTATAAATCTAAGCTTTATTAGTTAATAATTAAATCACTGTCAGATTCATTTTATTAAACTTATATGATAGTAAATTATATCACATCAAACCCAACAGATATTTAGAAAAATAAAATACATTTGAAAATGCAATAGTGATATTTCATATTTGTATCATTTCTACAGAGGTATTTTTTCTATTAATTTCCATTTCAAATTTAAATTTCTAAGAATTGCTCAAAAGGATAAAAATTCTAACTTTTTCAGAAATATTCTTAAGCGAGAGCATTAAGTTATGTAAAATATTTAGCCTATCAATGATGTTTCAGTTTCATTCTTTAAAATAATAATCTTTAATAGTGTACACATTTTACTTAATGAAACATCAAACACCTATCACTGAGAAATGTTTATTTAATGAAACACTAACATTTTCAGCCTCATAGAATAGGCCATCTTCAGGTGTAATTACACCTGAAGATGGCCTATTTTGAAGATCACCCAAAGTGTTTGATGTTTCATTAAGTGTTTAAAAATCTCGAGTTTTATATTTACTTAGTTCACATTTTAATTATTATTTAAATTAAAATAATTTGATAAGCTATTATTGTAAATATTTTGTTAAATTGTTGGGAGCACTATTCAAAATGATCCTCTAAAACCTCATCTAACATTTGTAAAATAATATTAAAATAATAATTAATTTAACAATTTTATTAAATATTTTTCTTGGCACTTGCTCTGTTACCAATGCATTGCTATGGCTCTGGCTTAAACACACACACATATTATAGCATCATATAAAAATTTTTAAAAATCCCTCTTCTTCAAGTTGAAGCACTTGGAATTTAGATGTGAACTGTCTTCATATCACATTTGCATCTTTTCATCATTCTTATAAAGTAAAAAAAAAAAATAAAAAAAATATTTTGTCACTAAATATAACATCCTCCCAGTAACTATCAGACATGAATCTCAAGCTTTTATGACCTCAAATCTGTTTCTCATATGCAGCGGCGGCCTTATCCATTGCGAGGCTCTGGGCGGCAGATCTTTGCGAGGCCCTTGTCCTTTGTGCAAAGTATGTGAATTGAAATAGTAGGCACTCATTAATATTGATATATACTGTACTATGAATTAAATTTATTTTATTGTTATAACTAATAGCCAAGGATAAAATAAAAAGTTTTAAATATCAACTTTTTTCTACTTAGTTGTTGCGCGAGGCCCCTCAAAGAGCGAGGCCCTGGGCGATTGCCCTGCTCGCCACCCCCTAAGGCCGCCACTGCTCATATGAACAGATGTGAAGGTCAGCTTTTTGGAAATAGATCTTACTAAGTAAGTTTTTATTAATTTTTTACTGTATAATTTTTTTTTTGGCTAAAAGATAACATTTGGTTTGAGATGTCACAACACAGAACAGAGTGATAAAAGTCAAACATTTGACCCACCCTACCACTATTGTTTATTTGAATTCAGACAGTATAAGTAACATTAAAAATAAGCAATAAGCATTTTTACCAACTTTAACAAACTGAACAAGCCTAAAATAAAATCAAGAAAAAAGCATTGTCTAAAATTTAATTTCAAAAACAACTCTTTGGATTTGTGCAAACATTTTTTTTACAAAGAAAAAAACAATATATTATTTCACAAAACAGAAATTCATTTTTCAAAAAGTAAGACTTTCAAGCAAAAAGTTTAATTTTAATACTACTAATAAATACATTAATCCATTTTGAATTTGTTTCAAAACTATTAACACCGTTAATTAAACAACATTACACATATTTTAAGTTCTTTCTAGTGAAGGTTTCACCAATTAATTTATTGAAAGATATATGTTATTTAAAAAGATTATCAGATGAATGATTATGATTCTCTTTTATTATATAAAAATGTTAAAAATATAATTTAATTCTTATGAAAAAACTAAATGAAGATATAGTTATAAAGTCACCAAAAACAAATAACTAAGTCAAGTTTATTTAGTTTCATGTAAGCTATATTGCTTAACAAAAATAAAATTATAATAAGGTAGAAAACAGGTTGTAATTAATTAAAAATTTTTAATTTGTATTGATTACTTAATAGATAGATAAATCAGAATATAAGTTCTCACATATATTTTTTCTTAAATCTTGTTAATAATCTAGATTTTAAACTAGAACTATTTTAAGCTTCTTCCAAACATGGGCTAGAAACTGCTTGATCTTTTGGTTTGAATGTGGACATCGTTTTTTACACAATACTAGTAGTATTACATGTGTAAAAAGCGATGCCTCACCTGATATAAAATAAAGGATTAAAAAGATAATCTTTTATTTTATAGGCCTATATTAGGGATTGTCCATAAATTACGTCCACATTTTTCTGGAAATTTTTACTCCTCCTCATCCTCTTGTCCCAGTATGTCCAAGTTTCCGTAACCCTCTCTTTGGACGCCCAAAAAAACTCAACCCCCCCTTAAAACCTTTACCCTTTATGAATAATAGATACCATAAGAGACATACAAGATATTCTGAGATAAATATAATAAACTGTATACATAAACTTTATAAAATTTAATGAAACGGTCATCCACTTATGCTCAACCCTCTTCCCCTTGTCCGACATGTGGTAACGCCCCCCTTCAAGTGTGGACAGCCCCTAAGGTAATATACATCGTTTAATATCAAACTTTTACATCTTAATTTTATCTGTTGTAAATTTTTCTTCCATTTCCTCATCACCTTTCATGTTTACTTCCTTTAAGGTGTTTCTAATAATATATTAGGCCAATGGCGCCAAGGGGCCCCGGCACTCCCTCCAAAGTAAAAGAAATAAAACACTAGTAAATTTTCCAAAAATCCTTTTCTAATTAAAATTCATTTCTATACTATTTACGAATTAGCGGTCAAATAAGATGGGAATTTTATTGAATTCGCGTTAAAATTTTCTTTATCCGTTCAACTCGGCTCCTCCCAGATTAAATTTTGATAGTGTTAAACGCATTAGGGTCTTCTTTAGAATAAATTCCAGTATATTCAAAAGTTGGCTAGAAAAAAAAAATTAAGAAATATATATATATATTGAATATGTGATAATATTTAAAAACAGATGGACAAAGCGTAGATAACATGGATGAAATGAAATTGGATGCTAAGTTATTCTGTACCATTGAATGCACTTTTCAGAACGACGCATTATCCAGAATAAAAAACAGATTACGAATTGTGAAATAATTTATTGCATTGTGCTAATAGCACTTCAAAGAAAGCACGGGAGAAAAAGACGAATTACGCAATTTGGCGAATTAAACTATAAACGAGTCGTGCGCCTATTGTACTGTACGTTCACTTCCGGTAAAAAATTCTTAATTAATCTAGCCTTTACGTGTATATATTTCTATATAAAACATACACACTGTCCTCGTTTTATATTTCAGTTTGAATTTCAAACGAGAATAATAATATTCCTTGACCACAAACAATAAAAAGGACACCTTAAAAGCGCGAAAACTTCTGTAAAATCTAGTCTGAAACGGAGCCAGGCAAGCCTTATCTACTTTAATGTCAAAATGAGATAATATATAATCATAAATATAAGTTTTTTAAAACAATTTTTCTAAATTTCCTATATTATGTATTGATAAAATGGTATAGAATTTCCTAATGGATAGCTGTCAAGGGGTTAAAAAACCGTTTTGCTTTCTCCCTATACAATGAAATTTGTCACAGATTCGACAAACTTCATTTGACATTTAAAAATAATCGCATCAATGTGGAACACGTACAAAATATTTTGATTCGTGAGCGTCGGAAATAACAATAAGGCTGTTGATGAAAAGGCGTGTCTGAGTTCCAAACCTA